TCCATGGTACATTCAGTACTCTTCTCCAGCACCACAGCTCAAAGGCATCAACTCTCCTTCTGTCCTCCCTACTCATTGTCCAACTCTCTGATGCATAACAGGCGATTGCAAAGAACATGGCCTGTATCAGGCACACCTTAGTCTCCAGAGAGACACTGTTGCTCCTGAGTACTTTAGAGAGGTCCCTAACTGCAGACTTTCCCATCGCAAAAAGTCCTTTTTCTTTATCACATTAGAATTCACAGTATAAAAGGAAGCATGAATTATGAAGCTGGAAGAATTATCCTGGCCCATCCATTTTAAATTACCAAAAAAAAAGAAAAGTAGTTGAACCTCATGTAAGATCTCATGAATAAAGATTAGATTGGCTTTATTATGGACAACAAAGACATGCCACAAATATATGCCTATGAAACTGGTGGAAATAGCAGCCTACTGTTTGAAAATAAGTGAAATAGAAATTAAGAAAATAGTGTGGTTATGAAGATTAATGTAAAACTGATCAATATAATGCTGTTTGGAGAGTGGACAGGTTTGAAGATCAAGTTGTTAGAACTCAGGTAAGAGTTTAGAAATAAATAAAATATCTCAGAAGACAGTATGTACTAGAAGCAGCATGAGAGTGTATAAGGACACTGTTTATCACCTACTCCTAAGAGTCACAGGGGACTATGAGAAGTTCATTGCTAACAAGTGGAAAACTATGCACAGTGAAAGCCTCCAGTGGGTTTTTAGAGGCTATAAATTATCCCTCTTTTTCCCTAGTGAGGAGGGTACATAAAATTACTTAGTTTATAATTTTTTTAAAAATAAATTTTCATTCACAGTTCTTTCACTTTTAAAAGGGAGGGGAGGTGAAAAAGAAGATCATGTTGGTTTAACCAAAACATTAGTTTCTTGCTTTATTATGCTTATGAGGGTAATAGATGACAATGAAAGAAAAAGAGATTATTTTAAGATATAAAACAACAACAACGCAGAACAAAAAACTCAGAAACAATTATGATAGATACTGTACCAACCAGAATGCAGATGGACTTGCTAGTACTTCCTATTTAAACTGCAATCTAATATTAGCACTGACTGGCGTAGAGGTGGGATGGGAGTAGATATGAACTGAAAACTCTTGAAACCTGTTGGGTAAACAATTTGTATTGATTGGTTTCAAGTAACTACTGATGTAGAGTTTTGGGTGGATTATTAGTTACAGACCTTTAAATGAGGGTCGCCAGGGGAGATAGGATAATAATAAAAAGGACATCTCTGGGGATGAGCAAGGTAGATTAACCTTCATTACTGTGAATTTCTGTAGTAAAGGAGACAGAAACCCTTTTGTTTCCATTTGTCACCACATTTGCATCTCTAATTCCAAAAATCAATAAAAGTTCACTCCTGGAGATTAGAAGGGAAAAGTTTAACGATTGTTCTTTTCAAATGAGGATGCAAATTCAAATGTTTAACTTTAATTACTCTTAAACAGTAAAAGTTTCCTAATTATAGCCTAGAGTCTTAAACAGATGGAATTTTGTACTATTTATAGTTCTTCAACTTGATTTCTAATTAATAGACCTGTGAAATTCCTAATTGTTTTTGTTATATTTTGTGAAAAGAATGTTTAAGCATTTTTAAAATTTAAAAGAAACTAAAACAAGTGCTCACTTTGGCAGCACATAAAATAAAACTGGAACAATAGAGAAAAGATTAGCACGGCCCCTGCACAAGGTTGACACACAAAAGAAGCTACAACAAAACAAAAGAATTGGGACATGTCTCTATGTGCTTGTATATATCTGTAGTATGCCATGGGGTGCCATTGAATTGATTCTGTCTCAACATCCTGATATATGAGAACAAAATACCACCTGGTCCACTGTCTATAAAGAGATCCTTATATCTATATCTCTTTATTTATTTGTTTCCCTAGTCTTCAATAAAATACAGTAGTCACTGTAAACTGTACAAAAATTGATGTCACATTTTTAAGAAAGGTAATGCAAGGTAAACAAATATAGACATTATTTCTCAAAAGGTAGCAAAATGAAGGGAAAAAAGTGGCAAAATGATCACAATATAATTAGAGTATTTTTAGATACATTTTTCCAAATTTGGCATTTCATAGTGCATATTTAAGTCCAAAAGGAAAAAATTATTTTCAAATTGATGAAATTTGCCAGTTGAAGCAAATGGTAATGTTTTAAAGGAACTACACAAATTTGATACCTTAAAAAGAATTGTAATATATACATATATATATGTGTGTGTGTGTGTGTGTGTGTGTGTGTGTGTGTGTGTGTGTGTATATATATATTAGATTAGATTGGATTATATATATAGCCTACAAGTTTCAGGGCCAAAACAATCTTAGGAGAAAAAGAAATTCTTGGAAGGTAATGTTCAAGAAAAAGTTTCTTCATTTTAATTGGATGCATAAAAGCTCTCCTGGGTATGGTTAAGTAAAACACTTTATCTAAAATTGGAACGGTAGTTCTCCTCAATAGTGTTTGGATATTGTCAGAATTGCATTGGGAAAATCTGCTGTCAGGGACCTCTCCAGAGTGCTGAAGAGCAACGATGTCAGTCTAGATACAAAAGTGCACCTAACCCAGGCCACGGTCTTCTCAATTAATTGTTATGCTTCAGAGAGTTGAACAATGACTAAGGATGACAGAATAAGAGCAGATGTCTTCAAGTTGTGGTGCTGGGGAAGAGGCTTGAACACAACATGGACTGCCAAGAAAACAGATAGTTCCGTCTTGGAGAGGGTGAAATCAAGTCTCTCCTTGGAGGCTAGGATTTTGAAGCTCCACCTCAATTACTTTGGACACATGGCCAGCAGAGACTGGTCCTTGGAGAAGGACTTCATGCTTGGAATTGTGGATGGACAGCACAGAAGAGGGAGACCCTGGGTGAGATGGATTGATAGAGTAACTGGAACAATGGGGGTTGGTGTGCCAGAATTAGTGAGACTGGCTCAGGACAGGGAAGGGTTCAGAGCTGCTATACATAGGGTCACTATACATTGCAGGCGACTCAATGGCACATAACAACAATAACGTACTATGACAGGTTTGGAAGCAGGAGTGGCATGCCTCCAGAAACTCTATGAACTTTGATAAATGTTGATAGTTGTAGAGGGGCTTTAGGTCTTTAGTTCATAGAGTCGCTTTGCATCGTGCTCAACTTGAAGGCAATCAGCAACAATAGTGGGGCCCAATAGGAAGTTCCTTAAATAATGTGGCACCCATACTAGTCTCTGCTATGCTTTCAGTTAATCTTTTGAGTCTGGTATGTCAAAGAATATCTCTAAGATAATAAGCAAATGACTTTATCTCCTAAGAATCTACACTGCACATGTATACATCTTGAATTAGATTAATTCCAGACTCGTAGACCTCATAGAAATAGGGCAAAATAAAACCCTAGTTCAGAAATAAAATTGCTTGACAAATATTGAGATAGGTTATGGTTAGATAGCAATTTATATAGTTAGGAAAACATAATTCTCTTCTCTTTGTGTTAAATGCTATATTCTGCAGATCTCCAAATTTTTAAAAAAAATGCTCACATGGACTTAACGGAAAGTGAAAAATAATTCCTATTATAAACTAGTGTTTTGAAGGTTATTTGCTAATATTGCACATCCAAAAATGATAAACAAAATGATAAACATAAACAAAATTATATCCATTCACCTAATATTTTATTTTGCTGAAACTATTATGCATATCTGTTGTTGTGGTTGTTAGATGCCTTCCAGTTGCATATGACTCATACAACTTTATGAAGAAACAAAAGATCTGAACCCTTTCCTAGCCTACATTTTATTGTACAAGACACACTTGAGCCCATTGCCACACTATCAATCCAGCTCACTGGGAGTCTTCCTCTCTCTCACTGACCTTCTATTTTTCCCCAAGCATGATGTTCCTTTCTAAGGTACAGCCTTTCCTAACAACCTGCCCCAAATATGAGATGACGACGCTTCATTATCTTTGCCTCTAAAGAGCACTCTGGTTGTTTTTTCTCCAAGATGTAACTGTTTACGTACTTATAAAAAAGTCTACAGAATCTTAGTGTCTTAGTGTCTTAGAACTGCTATAACAGAAATATCACAAATGGATAGCTTTAACAAACATAAATTTATTCTTTTATTATTTAGGAGGCTATAAGTCTGAGTTTAGTTCTAGGAAAAGCTCTGGGGAAAGGCTTTCTCTGTCAGTTGTAGAGCAGATCCTTGACGTCAGTCTTCCCCTTGGTCTAAGAGTTTCTCCGCATGGTAATCTGTTTTAAAAGACATGCCATGCTCCTAGTTCTTCCTTCTTAGTGCTGACAGGTCCTTCTCTGATCACTTCACTTTCTTGTAAAATAAAAGGTGATACAACCCACATCCTAGGTAATTCCCCTTACCCCTCATTTGGACCACAATTAAGATTTTTTCAAAGTTCAATAAAAACAATTAGAAGAATCATTTTGTAGAAATTCCATACTCAGTCAAGTCTATGACCTGATTAAGGGTGGTGCTTTGTATGACAATCTGGCTTTTTCTGATCACATCAGATTGCAACATGGGGGTGATTACAGTATTACATGATTGCCAAATGGATCATTACCTAACCACCAAGTCAATAAGAATCATGGCTTAAAAAAATTGACTCCTATTTCCCCCCAGAATTATGTCCTTTTCCACCAACTAGAGGCTCTTGACAACATACCTAAAGTACGTGAGATGAAGTTTCACCATCATGACATCTAAGGAGTACCTTGGTTGAACATTTTCCCAAGACAGGTTTGTTCTTTTGACAATCTATGGTATATTCAACACTCTTTGCCAACATCACAATTCAAAGCATTGATTTTTCATCATTCTTCCTTATTCATTGGCCAACTTTCACAAGTGTGCAAAACAATTGAAAATGCCACAGCTCAGGTCAGGTGCCCCTTAGTCTTTAAACTGATATGTTCCCTTTCTAATATTTTGGAGAGGTCCTTGACAGCAGATTTATGCAACTTTTGTCTTCTTGATTGCTACTACCAACGAAAATGAAATCCTTGACAATGTCAACATTTTCTCCTTTTATCATGATGTTGCCTATCAGTACCATTAAGAGAATTTTTACTTTCTTGATGATGTGTTGTAATCCATTTTGAAGGCTGTAATCTTTCAATTTCTTCAGAAAATGCTGTAAGTCTTCTTCACTTTCTGAAAGTAAGTTTGTGGCATCGGCGTAATGCATGTTGTTCAGTCTTCCTTCAATCCCTTGATGCTGTATTTGTCTTTATACAATCCAGCTTCTTGATTCAGTTGTTCAGTGCACAGATTGAACAGATATGGACAGAGATATAACCTAGACATATACCTTTTCTAATTTTAAATCCTGTTCTGTTCAAACAACTCTTTCTATTCTATGTACAGGTTTCACATGAACACTCTTAAGTGATCTAGAATTTTTACTCTTCTCAATGTCATCCATAATTTAATTTATTATGTTCTACACAGTAGAATGCCTTTGCGTCATCAATAAAACACAAGCAAACATCTTTCTACTATGTTTTGCTTCCAGTTAAGATTCATTTGACATTAGCAGATGAATACATTAATATTTATATCATTCAGTCTCTCTCTCTAACCCCAACCAGTGTGTACACACACACACCACCTCCCGTTTTTGTGTCTTTCACGAATTGCTTATTTAATGAACTTTATCAATTTTTCCTTTAGTATGTTAGTGAGACTTTTAAAAATTGGAATCATCATTTATACATTAAAAACTTAATTATGTTATTATCTTACTGGAAATGTTTTAATCAATTTTTATTTTGCATTTTAATGTCACTGATATATTAATTTGCTTTTCATATGCAGAAGCATTGCATTTTTGTATTTTTAAGTCTCTTTTTGTGTCTAATTTGGGGATAGTGTTTAGACTTATAAGAGAGATGATCAATTTGTGCTTTACTCCATCTAAGATTTACGGGAGAAGCGTAGGTTGAGAATATTGATCACCTGCATAGAAAGTTATGAAAACATGTGAGTAGATTAATCCTGCTATGGCAAGGATGGAAATAAAAGAGAATCAAGAACTTTCTGGAGTATTCGCATTTGAAAAGGAAAATAAAATAGCAAAACAATCTTTCATGAGGGCAGTTCTGGTGGCCTGGTGGTGAGGTCTACTATTCCAAAGGCACTCAGTTCAACTCTGTCAGCTGCTCCACAGAAGAAGGATGGGCAATCTCTTCGCCCCTCTCCCCTGCCTCATATGAGTAAACTGCTTCTGAAAACCCACTGGAGGGTCAGCTATGAGTCAGTTCCAACTCGACAGTCCACAAGAACAACATTAAAGAAAGATGATAAGCAGGAAATCTTCAAAGTCAAAGAAGGAAGTAAATACCAGATGACATTTAACTGGGTAGGTTAGCATAAGTTTTGGCAATCTGTTGAGATGACATAAAATGAAAACTTCTGATTAAAACAAATAGGAGGGAAAGGGGGTTAAAAATGAACCATACTTCTTTGTAACTGGTTGATTGAACATCATCTGCAAGAACACAGGAAAATATTAAAACCAAAAGAAACATCACACTTGAATGTTTCAAACGATCTGACCTCATGTTTAGTGTCTTTAACCTCCTCCCCACTTCCAATTTCCACACTGTCATGATGTTTTTAAATGTTCCATAACAACAACCAAAGGAAAAATGTTTAGGGAATCCACACTCAACTACACGATGCCTAGGAATGAGGTTAACGAGCCAATGCTTCATCTTAAGACATTTTATTATAATCACTGGAGTTACTTAACTTGCTTTGCCGTGATGGGGAACTGCGTCTGGTCTTTTTGTGTGAATGCAAAGCTTAAGTTCTTTAAATAGGCAAGAGACCAAAAAAGGAGACAATCTAGGGGAGATGGGATCACTCAGGGGTCAGAAATGGAGTGTAGATGAATGAGGTGCCTCTCTCATAAAGCTTTCAGAGTTGGGGCTTGACCTCCCCAAGGGGTGGGGATGGGGCCACCCAGTATCCTCCTCCTCCTCCTCCTGTTTTGTTTTATGTCCCTGTTACTTCTGCTGACAGTATTTTTGTGTGCTCTGGTAACATGCCTGGCATTGTCGCTGTTTATTTTTGACTGTCAGGGCGCAGAAAGGAAAATTCGAGATGAAGAGCGAAAGCAGAACAGGAAGAAAGGGAAAGGCCAAGCCTCCCAAACGCAATGCAACAACTGTGAGTTTCCCTGGAAATGACTTTCCTCTCTACGGGGTGGGCTTTAGCTGGGCAGGATCCACGAGGGAAACAGGTGTGCAAAGTGGTTGCAGGTAATACAATAGACATATAAAGTCTTCCATGCAAAGGAAGACTGGCTTTTCCAGAGCAGTGGAGTCTGGGCAAATTGTCCTCGTGAAGAGCAAAGGGAATCACATGGTCACAGAACGTTTGAGCTCGGAGTCACTTTAGACTAAAATATAGACAAGAAAGTTAGGTTGCAAAGAGTTAAAGGAGGGAAAGAAGGAATAAAAATTCCACCTGGGAGCCTTTCCTTTATAATCTGAGAGACAGAAGGCTTTTGAGTGTATCCACGTCTGGAGTATTTATAAAGTGTCTGCAGCATTGTATTTAGTAAGTTTTATAAGAGAGAATTGTGAGCCTCAGTTGTTACTAGGGCTCACGGTTGAGATGTCTCAGTCATGCCTGACCATCTTATTGATGGCTCTGTGGTCATATCTAGCCTCTGATGGGAAGCTGGCAGCCATACCTTTACAGAAGAAGAGTGACATCACCTACTTCAAAACCATGCCTGATCTGCACTCACAGCCGGTTCTCTTCATCCCGGACGTTCACTTCGCAAACCTGCAGAGGACAGGACAGGTATGACCCTCCTGCCAACCTCCACCTGCTCGTCTGTGGGTGGTGGTAAAGCCTTAAGATAGACTCACTTCAGTTAGTGTCGACCCTTAAAAAAGAAACTGGCGTTATAGTTGTTAAACAAAAACTCAAGGTCATGTCCTACAAAAAATGGATTTTAAGGAAGGAAATGGCTCAGAGGCAATACTGACTTACTGAGAGGAAGAAGAGTGAGCTCATACTTGTAAAGTGTTAACAAAGCTGCTAGAAAGGAAGAAAGAAGGAAGGCTGATAGCCTGTAAGGAGAGTTTGCTTAGTTTTGTTAGCCTCTTCAGGTGAGATTAGCCTCGTGTCACAGAGCTCCACCTAATGGAGAGAAATGAATGTGCACCCATAATTTCATAAACATGGAACTACTACTTTGATTCCCACTTAAGACAACCTTCTATCCCTTTTCCAAAGCTGCACCTCTTCGTGGGAAGAGGCTTGCCTCTTCTTTCTCCTGAAGAACAGCTGGTGAGTTCAAACTGTCAACCTTTCAGTTGCAAACCCAATACTTGCTCTACTATGCCACCAAGGCTCCTGTGGCTTTATAGGGTTGCTAAGAAAAAGACAAAACCCCATCCATTACCATTTAGTCCATTTTGACTCATAGCTACATCTTCCTACATAGAAGATGGTGGGTTCGAACCATTAACTTTACAGTTAGCAGCAGAGCTCCTAACCATTGTACCACTAGGACTCCTTTTAGAGTTGTGTGAGAGGAAGAACACTTAGTTTAATTAGACTCAATCAACATTTTCTTCCTTAATAAATCAATAGTTCCTAGTGAACAGTTAAGTAATTCCACACTTAAATAAAAATTAAGTTCTAGGAAACACTCTTACATCAATTCCTATCTTTTAGATATAACTACAAGGGAAATGAAATGTCTTAATTGTACAATAACATCAGTGGCCAATGACTAATTGGCCATGGTAGTTCAAACTGGAGTCATATTGTGTAGTTACTAAGGTGTAATTATGAAGATCATGTAGCAATAAGGAAACTAGTTATGATAATGGTCAGTAAAAGAAAATATTAATTTTTCTCTACATTGTGATGCCAAGTATTTGAAGGGAACAAGAAACACTATAATGTTTGATAGGTAGGATTATCTTTCTATTATCTTCAGCATTATTTCTTTTATCTATATTTGTGAAAAAAGACAAATATGTCTATGTTCACAAAACAAATTTTTGTTGTTGTTGTTGTTATGTGCTGTCGCGTCACCTGCAACCCATAGCAACCCTATGGACAGCAGCTGTGAACCCTTCCCCGTCCTGAGCCAGTCTCATTAATTCTGACACACCAACCCCCATCGTCCCAGTCACTGTATCAATCCATCTCATCCAGGGTCTCCCTCTCCTGCACTCTCCCTCCACCCTTCCAAGAATGATGTCCTTCTCCAAGGACTGATTTCTCCTGGCCATGTGCCCAGAGTAAGTGAGATGGAGCTTCAAAATCCTAGTCTCTAATTGATTTTAGATTTTTTTAAAAATAAAATTTTTATTTTATACTGATTTACTTACAAAGTTTATATACACTGACAAATTGAGTTTCAATAAATCTTGCATTGACTAATTTTTGTTTTATGTTCAGAGTCCTTTGAGGAAAGATTCCTTTGGTGACATACTAGCACACTCAACTCTTCCATCTAAGGGTCTTGGGATTGATTTCGGCCTGTTGGAGTAGAAATCATTTATTAGCATTATCTTCTCTTCCTCAAGAAAGTTTTGTCCCACAGAGATCCATGTCTTGTTCCATTATGCATCTGAGACAAAGCCATTGTAGATATGGAATTTTTGGTTATTTATGACACAACTCAGGGATGAAATATCCACACCTTAGAATCGTTTCATCTGAAATGTGATTTAACATTTCCGTCTTGTTCCACTTTGTTTGTTTGATAGGAACAAAGAACCAAAGTAGAAAACAAGGCATATAGATTTATCAAGATATGAGCACCAGCACCTATTTGCTGATTTTTGGTGTTTTGTTGTTGTTGCATTTTTTGTTTACTTGTTTGGTTTTGGAATGACTCAGTGGCTGGGGTAAAGGTATGTTGAGACAATGAAATTGGCTCAAGATAGAGCAGGGTTCAGAGCTGTTGTACATAGGGTCGCTATGGTCCAAGCGACTCAACATCACATAACAAAAAAATGTAGTTGATTTGTGTCTTATAAATGCCCTGTGGGACTTCACAGAGCTAAGATTTCACACCTCTACCAGAAGAGAGGCTAATTGAGGTGAATTGTTCTCATTGTTGACGGTCATGATTCTGGTTTTTGCTCCCTGTCAAAGGTGACAACCTGACCTACTCTATTGGCAAGATGTCTCTGAAATTTGCAAAGCTCTAAATGAATCTTAAGAGAAAAAACGGCCCAAGCTGGCAGCTCATGACAATCAACCCTGTGCCCTTGAACGCCCCCTAGTGCCCTGAGTTCTGAGCTCGGGGCTTAATAAGAAGCCAAAGTGCAGCCTTCACACTTTGTTGCTTCCCACTGTTGCAAAGCTGTACAATCAGCATTCCTTTTGACAATCAGCAAAGGCACTGCCCTTACCCTTAAATCCCTGGACAGGCCACCCTGAATCTGCTTTTCCAGAACACCCTAACGCTCAGCCGAGGCCTCAGATTCAGAGTCCACTGGGAGCTCCCAGCAACAAAACAACACATTCAGCTGTGCTCAAGAACGACCTGGAATGAGTCTGTGATTGGGCATCTTGCTTGGCAGAAGAAAAGGAGCATTACAGGGGCCCACTGGCTCCCCTGAAAGGCTGCCTTTTCTTAGAAACCTGGGGGATTGGTCCAGAGACAAGACAGCTTGAGAAAGAGGAGGAAAGACAGAAATGGTGACCGTGTTAAAAATGAAGATGTGGCAGAGGTGGGCCAACACGAGCAAGCACAGATGGATCATAAAATGAGACTTTTTTTAATCGTAAAAACAAGGGAAGTAATCACTAGTGTTCATCTCTGTAACCACTGCAAGTGCTCAGCCTTGCCATAAGTCTGCCACACTGCATCTTCACATACTCCATAGCTCCAGGTACTAATCTCTAAGTAAGCCCAAGCCAGCCTGTGCTTACCTTGCTTGTTGGGGAATCAGACACTGTCTGTAGTTCTCATGACTGGTGAGACCTCCCCTGAGCACATCACACAGACACATCACCCAGGGCACAGTGATTCCAGTTCACCCGAGGACATGGAGAGCTACATGATGCTGGGAAGAGCAGAAAGTCAGCAAAGGAGAGGAAGACCCCTGAGCAGGTGGCAGGTGGATTGACATAGTGACTCCCACCATGGGCTTTGGTGTGTCAAGAAGTGTGAGGACGGCGCAGGATATGACAGGGTTAAGATCTGTTGTTCATTCACAGGGTCCCTGCAGGTCACACTTGACTCCATGGTGCCTAACAACAACAGCAGCAGCAAACATTCTCCACTAAAAATCATGCAGAGTTCTTGATACGAAACCAGATGTTTGTATTCCATGCCAGGACTTCTGAATTAAAAGCTTTGACCCAGGGCCTGGCAATGTGCTTGATGGCAGGGTCTTCAGAAACGTTTTAGGCATGCTCTTGTTTGGGAAGTGCTGTCTGAAAACTAAGTCAATGCAACGAGGCAGGCCACTGGCAAGGAAGAAAGTGGTGGAGCACTTCCCTTGATAAGGAGGAGTGGCCGTGGAAGGACAGTGACGTCCAGGCCATCTGGAGCACTGTAAACCTTCAGAAAAGGCTGCTTTGATCTTTGGGTCACCAACAATTCTGCAGAGAGCTGTTGGTCCCACTGTCATTTGTCAAACAGATGCTTTCTGCCATATTTCAAGAAACAATAAAAAACCAACATCAGGGACTTAGTTTAAAAATCCCCCTGTATGTCCTTGGCTCTGGCCCCGGTTCCCTCTTATATACAGTACATTCCATGTTCATCTAAGTTGTTATTGTCTGACCTTAAGTCTAAACTGATCCATAGCTGACCCTGCAATGGGTTTTCAGCGGCAATTGGGAGGCGATTGACCATCCTTCTTCCAAGGAGCAGCTAGTGGACTTGAACCGCATGCCTTCAGGATTGCAGCACAGCTTCTTACTACTAGGCCACCAGAACACTCTTCATCTAAGTAGACACTCAATTTCTAGTGCATCACGGTGACAAGGACTCAGAATGCCAACTAAAACAGTAGCAGTGATTGAGGGTCAAGGTGGGATATACAACGTGCTTTCATTGTTCTCTGTTCAAGAAGAAGTAAAGTCAGTATGTGTTTCAACAATGTTGTTGTTGTTGTTATGTGCCATCAAGTCGTTTCCGACTCATAGCGACCCTGTGCACAACAGCCCTAAACCCTGCTCTATCCTGCGCCAACCGCACCGCCTCTGACACACCCATCCCGATTATCCCAGTCAACAATAGATATGAAAAATCCAAAGAGGAAAGTGTTCTAGTGGAAATCTGAACTAATGACTAGAGTGATTCATTCCGAGAGAGTTCCAGGTAACCGGAGTTATGTTATGTAACTAGGTCTGGGCTTGGCAGCATCCCAAAAGCTACCAACAGCCTCTGAGAAAGTCTCTGATAGGTTCTAAGTCTAGGTACAGCCACTTGTCTCCCAGGTCCCTGGGGAAAGGATAGTGACCAAATGCATTAGAATCAGAGGCAACCTTCAAGGTGAATATATAAAAGCTTGATACAAATTCAGGCATTGTTCTGCATGCATATGAAAATGGTTTAGAAACACACAAGATACAGGTCACTACAGTGCCACCTGTAATTAAGTGTTAGCAACTCACTGGGTGAGGAACACTCACATACAAACCCTCCTGGGTTCTCGCATAGATGGCTTCATAAACACTAGACCATAGTTTGTTTGTGGTTGCTTGGGGCAGGTGGGAAGGAGATACAGAAGGAAACTCACTGCTTAGGGGACTGTAAGCTCCTCTTAAGGGTCATGGGCTCTGTTAGGAACAGATAATGAGGATGGCTGATCAAAAAGAAAAACATAATCAATGTCACTGATTTGCACATGTGAAAAATGTTGAAATGGCAAAGTGTATGTATGTATGTGTGTGAACCATAATTTGAAAAACAGACAAAATAATCAAGGATGTTTCCAGAATTTTTCTAAAACCACCTGTATTTCTAAAATAAAATTTTAATTGATTTTTTCTCCCCCCTCCCATCCCCTGCCCCACAATAACCACCTAAAGAAATCTGGTTTTGGGGATCCGGTCAGGATGCCTTCTAGGGTCAGATGAACTTTCCCAGGCACATTTAGGAGTGTTGGCTCTAAACATCTGTGGTTGTGGGATGGTATGAACCCAAGGCCCTCTGGGGGAATAAACCAAGAGACCTGGGGTTACTGCCCTATGGACTCTGGGACTTCTTGCTCTCCCCCTCCCCACACACCCATTACAACCCCATGGGGATCAATGGGATTGCGTACTCACAGACACTTTGCTGGAAAGCTACTCAGCAAGTCAGAACCTTTTGAACAATGATTTTCAGACTCTGCCCCAAAATTATAGGAGCTCTGGTGGCCTAATGGCAAGAAGCTCTGTTACCTGTTGTAAAACAGGACTGACCTCGGGGTTGGGGGTAGACTGAGAAAGACGGGTTCAATAATGTATACTGCATTGAAACAGATGAGGGAGAAAGGTGTTTAAAAGAGATATGTGCTTAGGTATTTTTGTCATGACAGAAGTCCAGAGCGAAGGCTGCATAGTGGAATGGACCTGGGGGGAGGGTTTGTAAAACAATGAAAGAATTTTTCTTTTACTTTTCCAAGAGGGTAATGTACTATGGGGAAGGTTTGGGAGGGGAGACAAGTACAAACATGAATGAATGGAAATCCAAAGTCTCTGTAAATTTTCATTGAAATTAACAATAAATTTAATGAAAGGAAAAAAAAAAAGAATCTCTGTTACATTCCCAAAGTCACATGGTAATGTTAAAAGTAAGAGATGGCTTAGGGCCATAGATAATTTGATAGGCTGCCTTTAGTCAGAAATCATCACATTTCCAAGTTTACTTAATTCAAATCTAAGAATTCTCTCAAGGGAGAATGTCAGGATTTAGAACTTACATTTCATTAGAAATACACACACACATACACACACAGTTTTCTTGAACAGTTTTGTCTTTTTAAGAGACAATGCATGTCTTAGGAAAGTCTATGCGTCATGCAAAATATTTCCATGTCTCCTCTGTGAACTACAGTAAACCTATTGTTTTGTTCCCACAGGTGTATTACAACACGGACGACGAACGAGAAGGGTAAGACGCTCCGTTCTTCCATGTAAACAGATCCAGGCAGTTCACGCCAGTAGAAAAGGCTCTTTGAACACTTTGTTGTCTGGGGTGGGGAGAAAGAACTTCCACTAAACATAAGACTCAGAGCTGAAAACAGCTTGGTTCTGTGGGCTGTCTTGGAGGGAAGCTGGAGTACACCATTCTCCCCCATATCTCTCCTCCCCCTTTTTCTGCTTCCTGTGTTCTTCCTTTGAATAACTAGTTCTTTTTCTAAGTGACTCATCTCTTCAATTCTCTTTATCAATAATCCAGTTATCAATAATCTTCTTGATATACCCATTCCTGCTCAGTGTTTAGCCCAAACAATCAATCAATCTGAGCTTCAGGGAAGAGTGAAGGAGACAATGCCCAGTGCTTATTACTACCTGGACCACACTAATTTAACTTTGAAACCCTAGCTGTGTAAAGCTGCTGGAGAGTCAGAAGTGAGGATGGTGTGAGTGGGAATGGAGGAGGTTAGGAACCTTTTCTCTGTCCTCTAAAGTTTTGAGTAAAGAATTTAGATAGAGCTCCTGAAGGCTTACTTTGTCTTCTACATCAAGTCTCTGTGTAACAACAGTGGGAAATGTTCTATATTTTTGTGTAGGAAGCACACCTAGCTGAGTATGGTCCTGAATGTTTAGGGGAGGGGGGTGTCAGTAGATAAATATTCAAAGTGCTATCTACCCATTAACTCATTCGTAGACTCACATTATTCTAGAATCAGGAAGGAACCTTCAGAGTTATTTAGTTGAACTTCTCTTCTTAACAATGTAACACCTACACTACATCCTTGGTAGATAGTAGCTAGTTCCTTGCTTGAATACTCCCATTGATGATGTGTGCACTGCATGTGAGACCCCTCATCACACGGTAAGACTATCCAGCTCTTAAAATGAATGCTATTTTGTCTGAGTTGATGCCTACCCTTTGGATTTTTGGTTGGTTTGTGTTGGTTCCTTCTTCTTCTTCCTCCTCCTCCTCCTCCCATCAGTTTTAGTTCTGTTTTATAGAAAAATTCATCCTTCCTCTGTAATTAAAAAATCCTTTCCTTCTTGCAACTGTTCTCATTAAAACATAGTTCCGTATGTCTCAAAACCTTAATTCCCTTTTAGAAGATTCTACTAAATTTGCAAATAGTTCTCTTCAAACTGACCCCATACAATTAATGTATTCCAAATTAATATATTGGGGTCATTTCTTTTTACAGGTAGGGTCCTATTGTTTTTTTAAAGCAATCTAGAATTTCATTCATGTTTCCACCTCTGTGCTACATTCTTGGCTGACATTGCACTTATAGTTAACTAAAATATCTTTATTATTATTTTCAAACAACAATCACAGGAGGGCTTCTTTTTTGTTTTTTAATTTTTATATTTCCCTGTACAATGTTTCATAGATGCTACATGAACTAGATAGAGTAGATCTCACTCGAACCCATGTTTTAGAGCAGGGCTTGGCAAACTACCACCCACGAGGCAAATCAGACCCTACTACCTGGTTGTTTTGTAGAGTTTTGGGGTTTCGTGTTGTTGATTTATACACACACACACACACACACACACA